CTTTAAATAGGGCTCAGGCCCTGAGATTTAGGGTTTCACTTTACAGCGCGGACTCGTCGAGTCCACGCATAGACTCGTCGAGTCCTTCATTAATCCAGACAAGAATTCGTGATCCTACTCGGCGAGTCTGAGCGCCTACTCGCCGAGTCCCTACCTAAAACTCAAGGTAAATACTTAAAATAAGATACCTGGGAATCCAGATGTTACATCCACATAATATATTTAATTTATTAACTTAAATATGTTGTTAATTATAAACATTATCATAAATTGAAAACTTATTGAATTATCAAGATGGTATACTAAATTTGTTGACTTCAATATAGTGTTAAATGCATAACCTAAATTAATATATCAAACAAACTTAAAAATATAATGTAAAGTTTAAAAACTAAAGTAATAAAATTCCAACATATGTTTTTTTTAAATAGTCGTAAGGAAATTACTAAATACGATAAATACAATAACTAAAATTCAATTAAGTTGTTTTTAAATTAATTTATAACAATAATAATAGTTAAAAATAACATGAAATTATAAAATAAATTATGTTACATTATAAACAGTGGTTGATACTTTGATGGATCTTAAAACATCATCAAAAAAATTTAAAATTTAATAAATTATAACAATAGTTAATAAAAATAGTGAGTACTATAATTTTTTTTTGGAAAGAGAACTTCCTTAACGAGGGTTCCATGCCCGAATAATCCCTCGATGCAAATATAAGGCTATGCATCAAGTCTTGGAGTGGTGCAATAATTTAAATATGGGTCAATAATTTATTCATCATATCTTCCACATGTCTTACTGAGTCACCACAATTAATTTTATACACACGTAAAGCATGAGCAGAGACCATTAAATGATTTGATTTTAATAAATGTTATATTATTTATTGTGCAAATTAATTATAATTTTGCATCAACTAAATGTAATTATTATTATTTTATAGTTAATAAAAATGACATAAATATTTTCAATAACGTATAATTACTAAAAATTTAACCGTATAATTTTATTCCACGTAACGCGCGGATATTCGTCTAGTATCATTATCATTATATACTTATAAAGGAAGCATTTTTCCTTTCACCACATTCATTTGAAACTCCCATGCGTTTTTCCTTCACCACATTCATTTGAAACTCGCATGACTTTTCAATTTCTTTCTAATAATGATTATAAGTAGCTTAATAAGGTTAAATAAATATCAAACTTAAAGTGTAAGCATATATAAACTAAATTTCAATATTAAAAAGAATATCTTTTGTAACAACCCAAAATTCACACCCAAAAATTTCATTTAAAATAAGTGGGTTACAAAACATTTGTAGTAAAACATCATCTGATCATATCATTTCATAAAAACATATCTCGTGTCTGAAAACCAAGTCATAAAAATAATAATAATGTCATAGTACAATCCCAGAACATCTCATAATGCGGAAAACCAATGTGTGTGTGTATGATGTGCCGCTACCGCGCCAGCTCCTTCCCCTTCGCTGAAGAGGTACCTGAAAGCAAAACTGTAAAATGTAAGCACGAAGCTTAGTAAGTTCCCCCATCGTCCACATACCATACAATCATATAGCATACATACTGCCAAGCATTTCTGGGGTGCCTGACC